ACAAGGTGGGTTGTGTTTTTTTTTTTTTTTTGTTTGGTTTGCCCCCCAAATAATTTATGTTATTCAAAGGGGAAGAGAGTTTGAGCTGAGTAGATATGAAAGCAGATTGATTTGCGCTTGAATGGCACAAAATCTCATTTTAATAGAATCATTTTGGGTTTTATAACACTGCCTGGCTCCCTCTCTCCTTCCTTCATCCATGACGAGATTGTGTTCTCCCAAAACTTTTATTGAGTCCCAGCAGTTACCAGTTTTTCCCTCCATCCTTGCCAAGTTATGTTGCCCCATAAATTGAGTAAATTGTTGTGCTGAATTTTAATCGCTTTTCCTTGCGGTTCCCCCCCATGATTTTTTCCAGCATCTCTTGCGGTTATGCCATTAATGCAGCTACTTAAAACTAAGTAAACAAATGCAATTTCCCTTTTTCTTTTTTGCAATCCCTCCTTTTGGATGAGTGGAAAACTGATTAATATGCTGAAGCTGGAAGCAGCTGGCAGGTGAGAGTATACGTAGAATGTAATTATAAATGGCACATCGATTAATTATGAAATGCATTGCATAAATTATGCTTCCTAGATTATAATTAACATATATTTTACGATTTTAAGCTTTAAGAAGCTTTCCTTCGATTATCGGGTCAACATTTTCATTAGTCCTGTTGCAACACACTCTGGTATATTATGTCATCTGCTAGACCATGTCGCGTAAATCTCATTTTACGACTGGCATTTTTGGTGCAACTTTGTTGTACATTTACCAAGGATCCCAAGGATGCCGATGATGATGGTGAATGGCGCTCCCCGGGTCCTTAAGGAACTGTTAAGTGGTCTTAGGAAGGATGCAGGAAAAGCTTACAGCTCTGAAAATGCATTTTTATGCTCCTTCGGTGTTTGCCATTTTTAATTGCTGTCGCTTTTCCAAACATTTACGGCTTCAAATGAGCTGAGGCGTCGAGATTTATGGCCACAAAAAAATAAAAACAAAATCGAAAAAGAAGCAAACACATGAGAGTTGGTCCGTATTTTTGTAGTTTAGTGTGTTTCCAGCAACAAAGTCACACTCTCGAGCAGACTAATACATTTCAATTTAGATACTTAAGTGCTGCAAGCTCAAGTGAAAAGAAATGGCAAACCATTAAACGGCCAAGGAAGGGGAGTGTGGCCAGTGTTGCAAAAGCGTTAGCAAAACAGTGTTGCATTTCCTGTTGATTTTATTCGCAGCAGAGTTGTAAAATGTTCAACCAAAGTGTTCATCTTACTTAGGTAATCAAGTGTAGATTAATAGTTTTTAACTCGGACACTTAAAAATGCAAAATTGGATTGGGGTGAAATGGTTACCAGTATTATTGTCTAAGTTTATGCTTTTAAGCCATACTTTTTTAATATGCTTGTATGTTTTTAGTTTCAAATATTAAAAATATAAAAATTAACCAAAGAGAACGAAGGAAAAACAGCGGAAACAGAGTTTGACAACTGCTTATATCACATTTCATTCCTATCATTTAAGTTTTGATTCGCTTTTCTTTGTTTTTTATTAAAAATAAATAGTTTAGAGTAATACATTTAAGCAATCAAAAAAATCAAATAAAGGCATATCAAAAGTGTAGTCAGTGTTGCAAAAGTTCCTTTAAAATCGGTGCCATATTTTATTCCTAAACTGTACTCTTATTGCTATGTCATTTTAACAAAAATCCCATTTCAATAATCCAATAAATCCTTGACTAAATAAATTACATAGAATAAATATATAATACACAAAGCTCATTAGCGGAGTTTAGAATGAATCATAAAGTATATACAAAACTGAGTTGTTGCACAATTGCATCTGCAATCATTTGGATAATTATAATTGTAGTTTTCACAAATTATATGTTTTTGTTGCCAACTTTTTGTAACTTTTTCATTTCTGAATTTTCTGCATGTTGTTTAGCATTTTTTAGAGAGGGGGAAAATGGGGGGGAGCGCAGCTAGAAGGGACCATTGTTGATGGCATTTAATTATTTCGACTCGGCAAAAAAGGACACATAGTCACATCCAAAACTACAGCTACAGAGCTACATCTACATCCTGTTGCCTTGTTATCACTGTTATTGTTATAGTTATTGTTATTATATTGCATTTTATGTGACTTTTATGTTGCAGAACTGCGACAGACTGCGCTGTGTTGATGCAGAATCCTGGCAGGACACTCGCCGGGAATTTCCGTTTGCCATAACGAACGTAATTTCCCTGAAAATCGATTCAAAGCCCACTCTTATTTTTATTTATATTTCTTAATTCCTTTGCCTAATACTACTTCTTCCATTTCCTTTTCTGAAAATTAATTCCCCTTTGGAGTGCATTTATTTCCGCATTTAATTAATCGTTCTCTTAGGAATTCATGACGATTAAACCAACGACTTAACCCTCTCAAGAGAAAGTCGGCTTAGGAAAAGGGTTTAAAACACACACACACACACACACACAGCTCACCTCAGTTTCAGTCGAGTGAGTGCATTCATTATGGATTCACTTCACAGCAAAGAACTCAACGCCAACTCATTGTTCTTTCTGCTGGTGAAGGAGTGAGTGCAACGGGTGACTTTGCCACGACAAGTGACCCCAAAATGATTTCCAGCACATTGTGTTTTTGCTAGAAAAAGGGAAGTGAGAGTTTTTCGGGGAGGGAGGGGATTTGAGATTTTCCCCCTCCCTGCCCCCAAAGGACTCCTACTGCCGCTAAGTAGCGACAAGTTCGCACAAAGGCTCAACGGTAGAGGCAGCGACATTACGTATACGCAACGTTTGCAGCTGCAGCAGTTGCTCCTTTCAATGCACGCCACTTGACGTTGGGGGAATGCAACTGGGATTCACATTCTACCATTTCCCATTCCCATTCCCATTCCCAATCCCATTCCCAGAGAAAGAGAGACAGCTCCTCCTTCTTAAAGACGACACTGGAGTGACTGGCATTGTTCCTGGCACTTTCATCCGGGGCTATTTACTTTTAGCGTGTCTGGGAAAAGGTTCTCTTAAAGTTTCAAATTGAAAACTATAAAGATGGGAAATCCCTAATTTAATATACTTAATATAGCTATAAAAATATTCTTTAAATATTCAAGAATTCTTAATAAATTTGTTCAAATTTCTGACTTGCCCTAAGGTGCTCACAAAATTTCGCGAAACTTGTCATCTTTCATATTTAAACAGACACTTTATGGTGCTTTTCATTACAATTGTCCTGTGTGTGTGTCTTTGTGTTTTTCGCAAACAAAACGCCAGGATGGCAGACATTGTGCAGGGGGACATTTCGGGGGTTCAAGCGCACTCAAGCGAGGAGTCAAGTCCTGCAGTCCTTCGTCCTGCAGTCCTGCTTCCTGCATCCTGCCTCCCTCTGCGGCATTTTAGCTTCCCCACCCCAAAAACGGAAGTCATAAAAGACGCGCATTTTCCCTTTTTAGCAGCTGACAAAAGGACAACAACTCCAATAATAATCATAAAAATAACAATAACAATAAGTACAACTTGCAAGCCATAATTTTTGTGGACACTAGATAATTCCCAGGATAATTTAGATAAATTCATTTCATACAAACGCCTCCTCCTAATTGAGTGGCACTGCATTTAGCAGTTCCTGGCATTTCATTTATCCTGCGGTTGACTTTTATGGCCCACCGATTTCATGCTGGAATCATTAATCAAGCAAACGAAAGCCTATGGAGACAGCAGCAGCAGGGACACACAGGACACGCAGGACACGAAGGACACACAGGAGAGCAACAACAATGATGATGATAATGATGATGATGGTATAAACTGGATCGAGTTGGTATATACATGCCGGATTTGGCACAACGGGGATTTAATGCATCAATCAGCCAAGTGCAGGATAATAAAATATACAAAAAAAAGCAGGAAGAAGTATATAAAACACACAACAACAAAAAAAAAATAAATAAATAATACACAATAAAAATAATATCAATAAAAAATAATATATATCGAACTTAGAGAAGTATTTTGCCAGGATTACTGAGATTGGGAATATTAAAAGGAATTCTAAAGGCTTTTATTGCAAATTTAAAAAGCTGAATTAATAATTAAATAAAAAATTAAAAATTATAGAAATAAAATTATATAAAACTAAATGAAATATATTTATGTTACTAATAGAATAAGAATCTAGAAATTAATGTAATTATGAACATCATCATATTATAAATGTAAAATATTTATAAAAATTATATAAAATAAATATTTACATATTAATATATATAATAAATATAAAAAAATCCCTAAAGAGAATTAAATATAAATCACATAATCCTATAAAAAATATAATCACATAATAAATCGTCAAAAAATTAATATTACCTCAAAGTTCTTCTAATTTATTGTCCTATAAATATTTATTAAATATTTTTCAACATTTATCTTAAAGCTTTAACAAATAACCGAATTTTCTTCAAGTTTTCTTCCAGTCTTAGGATTTTAATTTTTTTTTTTTTGTGTGAAAATAAATCCCGCACCAAAAAAAAAGTATTATATATGAATGTGTGTGAAATAAATGAAAGCCTGAATTCCTTAAATGGAAAAACGGATAATAATATGATGCGTTTGTGTATTGGGTTTTTGGGTTTTTATTAGAACCAAACCAAACCAAACACTTGGAAAGGCACCAGGGAATTTCCCCGCCCACGAACTTGCTCTTTTTTTTTTTGCAAGTCGCAAGTGAAGTTTTCCCGCAAGCACAAAAGAAAAACTCTGGTGGGGAAGAGGGGAGGAAAAAAGAAGCCAAGAGCAGCGCTCCTTTAAACTGTCAGTTTTTCGGCCCCAAGCCCTTTTGTGCAGTGTTGGTCGATGCTTTAACAGCTCTTAAGACCCCTTTGGACTCGATTTACAACAGACACTTGAAGAAAAATCAGTAAATAACAAGAAAGTAATTGATAATTGCTCATGTTAACATGTATCAAGTTGAAAACATTTAACAAAAACTCAAACTATTTGCTGTTTCAAAGGGATTTATCCATCTATCGGCATCAATGGTCCACAGATCTTGAACACCTCTTCGAGTATATAATTTGCGGCCAAAGTCTTGAGACTAACGCTAGTCATCTCTTCCTCCTCGTTCAAATAAGGCAAAATGCGTTCTGCAATATCCTTCAACTTGGGTAACAACCATTCACGTATAGCTGCCTCACCCATTCCTCCTAATCCAATAATGCCACCATATATGATCTCCAAAGATTCTGACATCAAAGCCTCTTTGAAACTATCAATAATCGATGGTTTGGTAAAACTATAACGTTTTGCAATTGTCGAGAGAATCGAACTTGAACATATCCTCACTGCCCAGTGATCCACGGCCCCGGGATTGGTGCAGATTTTTTCATTCATCAGGCAATTCATGGGACCAAGTATCAAAAATCCTATGGTATTTTCCAAATTTAATGTTCTATTCTTCATCAAAGCTCGTAGCATTTGTATCATCATGATGAGCATCTTGAAATTCTCGCCGGCAACATTTAAAAAAATGGTTTTCTCAATAAATGGAGCCAGCAAGAACATAACTCCATTAACACGTGGATCCTGAGCCAGGATCCGTTGACCCTTCTTGCAAATCTCCTCCGAGCGATTCAGACATGTATCAATGATTTCGCGGAAAATTTCCATCTGTTCCTGGGTTATATTCGGAATAGAAGATGATCCATCAAAGATGGCTTCAAGTGTTGTGGGAATAAGACATTCATCGACAGTTTCTTGCGATGAACTCATTTTGAATTGTTGAATTTTTCAATAGTATAAATTTCACTAGACTTTTTCCAATATTTATTTTTTGGGTTTCTATTATTCGATCTGCTTACTAATAGCCTTGGAACTAGACTGAGGAAAACTCGTTTCTCCAGATTTTAAATTGACAAACTTTAGACGCAAAGGTTACTTGGTTTTATATATTTTTCAAAGAAAAAACATTGTGACCCCAAAGGTTATTTTGTTTACTATTTTTTCAAATTAAAATTCGAAACGGAAATTTAAAGACTCCATAAATTTACCAAAGAAAGGTTGCAGATTTTTTAAGAAATATAATACTGAAAAAAACTAGAGACATTTCTCATTTTTTCAAATTAAAATTTCGAAGGAAAACCTATATACACCAAGGCGAATTTGTTTTATATATTTTCCAAAAAAAAGGTTAAACATTTTTAAGAAAAAGCTAGGGACTTTGTTTCATACTTTTCTACATTAAAATTCTAAAAGGAAAAACCAGAGGCTCCATAAAGACTCATATTTCCCCAAGAAAGATTAAACATTTGTTTAAAGGTAATAAAACAGAATAAAACTATAGACTTCAAAATGAATTTTTACAATTTTTCAAATTAAAATTAAAAAAAAAAAGTTATAGACACCAAAGTGAATTTGTTTTATATATTTCTTAGAAAAAAGTTATAGATTTTTTAAGGGTAATAACAAAGACATATATATATATACATATATAAATAATATTGACAAACTAAGCGACTTTGTTTCATATTTTTTTAAAAGAAAAAACTAAGACTCCATAAAGATATAAAATACTCATATTTCCCAAAGAAAGTTTATAGATTTTTATAAAGAAACAACATCGAGTGCTTCCAAGGTGACTTTGTTTCCTATTTTTCTTAAAATTTTTCTTACACTTAAAACTCCCCCATTTATTTCAAGTGTATTACCCCCTTTTGTTCGCAAGTTTACACGCAGCTGTCAAATCACAATACTTGCTAAGAATTTCCATTAACTCATTTCCACACACACACACACACACCCCACACTCTCTCTGTGTGTGTGTGTGCGTGTGTATTGATTGTGTTAAGTGTTCTTGGTGCACTTGAGGCTTTTGGAAAAATGGTTGGGGTGGGGTGGTGGGGAAAATGGTTGGTTGCTTAAAAGAAAGTTTCACCATTGTTATAACAAAATAATGGACCTCCAGGCTACCCAAGACTCACACGTAAAAACAGTTTAAAAAAGCCTCAAACTTGCAAGCACTTGTCGCTTAATTCAATATGCACACAAGTCTTTTTTCTCACTGTGTAGTAGTCTATCTTTTGTTTTCAAACGCACTTTTCTCGCCTCACTGTAAGAAATTTATGTCTACCTCTTAGGTTTTTTACTAATTATTATATTGTATGAATCTAAATTGTTTATAATATTTTTCTTACAGTGTTTTTTGTTTAGATTTCAAGCCTTTTGTTGTCTGTGAAAACCGATATGGCCTGGAACTTGGTCAAGGGGGATATATGTACATATATATACTTGTGAGTGTACTCACCTCACACACATTGACTCATGATTGTGGATCGTTTATTCAATTACCTGGAACTCTTTGCTGGCCAGGACACTGTAAAGAAAATGAAAAGAAAAGAATATGAAAACAGGACATGAGTAAAGGTTTGAAAAACCCTCGAAGTAGAATCATTTTTTTCTGAAGGGGTTCAAGGAAGAAGTAGAGAAAAAGTTAGTTGCCAGGACACATTTTCTCAAGTGTTTTCCTGGGCCAAAGATTTGATTTTCTGCTTCCTTGAATACGAAATTATTTAATTTAATTGAAGAGGCTCCATTTAGTAATTTATTTATATTTTTTAGAGGCATTTTTTCTTTTGAATTTTTGAAAGTTGTTTACGTTTTTGTATAACTTTTTCTTGGAAATAACTGTGATATATTTTTCCAGGAATAATTTTTCCCTGTTTAGTTAATGTTTATTATTTATTTCATGCTCAAATTTGTATTTAATTTTGTGTCTGAATTAAGGAATATATTCAACTTGAAGCTGAATTTTCCTTTTGCTTTCAACAAGAACTTTATGCCATATTAATAATTCTTCTCCATTTCTTGGACTCGTTTTCTGCCATATTTTTGTGCTTTATTTTATTTATTTTTTGTTTTATTTGACTTGTACTTCTTTTTTTATTATTATTTTCCTTGTTTTTTAAATTTTTCTTTTATTTTTTTGAGGAGTTTTCGGTTCCGTGCACTCGCTCCTGCAGTTTGACTAACGAAATTTTTGGACTGCGGCGAAATGCTTAAAAATTCGGAATTCAATCAATCCCAACGCTTTGTGTTATTTTCCTGACCCCCCCCCCATTTTCCACACTTTTTCCCCCCCTGCCCTGTTTTTCTACTCTCCCTCCCCTCTTTCTCTCTCTGTTTGCTTGCTTCGTTGCTCTGTTTTATTATTTTGTTGTTACCTCTACAATTGTATCAGCAGCAGGAGCATCAGCGGAGGGGAAGAGTTCTTTGTCAAGTTATACCCAAAAAAAAAAACAAAACATTTAACAAAAAAAAAGAAAAGAAAAACCGGAAAGAGAATTCAGTCCAGTTGGAAAAAAAGCGTATAATTCAAGTCGAAAAACAAAGCCTGGCTGCTATTTTTTTGGGGAGTAGGATGAGGTTCTCCCTCCAATTGGTAGCAGGATGTACTGCAGATGGAGAAAGGAGCAAAGGATCCTCGTCGTGGGTGTCGGATGGCAAAGGTAAACACGTTAAGCCAAAAGCCAAGAGGCGCTTAACCCCAAACAAGGCAAAAAAAAAAAGTAAAACTAGAATTAAAAACCATTTGAGTAAGGCTGATACCCTGTAATTAATAGAGGTTTATAACTATTTCTAGGTTTTGTTTAGAAACTAAAGCAAAAATTATAAAGAAAAACAATTTATATATGAAGCAGAGGGTAGAAAAAAATATATATTGTTATTTAAGAACAATATACAAAGTGTACACAATAATTTAGAGAAGTAAAAACTATAATTCAACAAGTTGTGTTTTTTTTTTTAATTTATGAAACCATATTTAGTATTTAAAATATTCTCCAATAGAGAGAAATAATATATAAAATACTCCTTCAAATATATTAAATACAACACAAAAAGCTAATTTCGAAAAGCCAAAGGGTATATACCCTTCCAGTTATCAATAGGATCAAGGATTCAAATGTAAAATCAATCATAATTGAGCAAATATGTGTATTCTAGGTATTTTAAATCAATATTTTAATATGTAAATTTTTAAAGTAAATCAAAAACTTTGAAATATCATAACTAAGACAAAAATGCCTTAATTTTAATTCGGAAAGCTGTTCTAAGTTAGTTTTTGTTAGAATAACAAATCTACATCTAAAGTTTTAAATTTTAAAAAATTTGAATTTATGTCAAATTTTTAATTTGTTAAATACTAAAATTTGTACACAAAAAAACGAAAAAAAAAAATCGAAAAAGAAAATGTGCTACCAAACATGGCTATATCGATTTGCCCTTTAATGATGATCAATAATATATATGATTTATGGGGTCGGAAATAATTCCTTCACTTAGTTTTAAGCTTCTGACTAAAATTATAATACCCTGCAACCGTAAAAAATGTGTTTACTATTGTAATCCTCAACATCCACAAATTATTATTTTTATCATATTAACACTTTTTTTTTTTTTGATATTTAAGATTGTTTATTTTGCCAGTATTCTCTTTTAAAACGGGTTTTCTCATATTCATTTTAATTTAAATTGAAATTATACACATTACAATTAATGTCATATTTTTCTTTTTTTAGGAACAAAACTTTTATAATTTAAACTTTTTTGTTATTAAATGAAGAGGATCAGTAAGTATCTCTCAACACTTAGTAACTATGAGCAGTAAGTAACTCTGAACATTAAGTATCTATGATCATTAATTAACCATGATCAGTAAATATCTATGACCAGTAGGAATGTATAATCAGTAATTTACTCTGAACAATAAATATCTATGATCAGTAATTAACTTTGACCAGTAAGTAAGTATGCTCAGTAAGTATCAATTAAGTAACTATCTATGACCAGTATGTATGTATGTATGTATGATCAGTTAGTAACTTTGAACACTAGTAAAGAATGACTTGCAACTTTTATAACACAACACATATCTGAGACTTGGTTGGCAGCAGTCACTTCGTTCCGGGGAGGTTAGAACCAGTTGGGAATCATAAGCCTAGGTGTGCGAAATTTGTTTTGAAACAAATTTAAGCTATTTGAAAAAAACTATGGAGTTATTCTTTTATATAATTATACTAGTAAATAAATCGGAGCATGGCGAATCGGTGGACTATATATATATATATATATATATAACTGACATAAAAACAATCGGACGATTTATAGAACTATTATCAGTAATTAACTATGAGCAATAAGTAACTATAAGCTGTAAGTAACTCTGAATAGCAAGTATCTATAATCACTTAGTATCTATAATCAATAAGTATCTTTGACCAGTAAGAATGTATGATCAGAAATTAACTATAAAGAATATGTAACTATAGTAGGTATCTATAATCAGTATATATCTATGAGAAGTAAGTATGTATGATCAGTTACTAACTTTGAACACTAATAAACACAATGACTTGCAACTTTTGTAACAACACATTTCTGAGACTTGGTCGGCAGCAGTCACTTCGTTCCGGGGATGTTAGAACTGGTTGGAAATCATAAAAAAAAAGTAAAACCGCAAACCACAAATAAATTATTAACCAAATTAACCGTATTCATTCCCAACCATAAGTCTAAGCAGATAACCCAGATAATACTATATAATAATAATACAATATGTAGTTCAAGAGAGTCACAAGACACAACAAGAAAAAAGAGAAGCAAAAGCAAAAGCAAAATGTAGAAGGCAACATCCTCGAGGGCCACGTGCAACACGGCGTATGAGCGACATCAAAGGCTGAAATTGCATCAGAAAATATTGCCGCCGGCATTTTTTG